ATCAGAACTTATAGAATTAGAAATAGAACTTAAAAGACGAAGATGTCTGCAATATTATGTCAATCAAGTTAACACACAAAAGTCATAATGTGGGACTGTAGACAAGACACCAAATTTGAGCAACAAAATGATTAAGGATATAACGTTAGACCTAAGGTATGAATTTCAGATATACAATTTCGACGTAAATCTTAGTTTCTTCCTACAAAATATGTTATTCTAATCTTACCGTATGATGGGACCTGATGCTTTTTTAAATGGGTAAAATTAACTCAACACAGGCAAACAAATTTTTGCTGAGCAGTCTCCAACCGGAAGTATGGAGCTAGATAGGCTATCAGATGCATTCTGGGATATTGATTTTACAGGCGTACCGTTTTGGGTAAGAAATGACGTCGCGGGGTGTGGTTCTGCGTTTGGACGGGAGCATTATAGTGTGCAAATTGCACATAGTATGTTCTCGTGAAGAAACATACGACATTGAAATTTAGTGCATCCTGCACATGACGTATTTTCAGCTGACATAGAACATTTCGCAGGTCCCTAGATTGAAAACATTAATGGAAACTATATTCAAATAATATGACCTTTAAATTTCTTGTCACATCATTGGTATATAAATTGGCAATATTTACTGCAACTCAAGGCCAGACTATACAGACATTTTCTCGTGTGGTAACATAACATATCTCTGTACTTTCCTACGTATGTTATATTATGGTGATGACAATGATATTAATCACGGCACAAAAAAAAAAAAACGGAATATGGCGGTACACGACTCCTTTCAGCCCCTTTCACAGTTTGATATATGTCTTGCAAAGATTATCGGGGTGACTATGCAGGCAGGGACGGTGGGCTCGTCTTTCAAAGTGAGGGGGGGGGGGCACCACAAAATAAGGGCACTTTCTTTGGGAAAGGGTCACCAACAACGCGACTATACGCTTTTTAGACATCGGTAAATACCCCTACATTGGGATTACATTGTCAGGGATGACTTCAATGTTTGTTTCATTATCTACATGGCACAAGATAATTATTGGGTGTGAATGATGGTCTGAATATTTATTTGTGAGCGAGCGTAGCGAGCGAGCTCGATCTCAGTGAAATTGAGAAAAGGTTTCTCTTAGTCTCTTTGAATTAGGATTACCTTTTATGGGACAAGTAAAAAGGGATACAAAGGAAAACGACACTTATTATAAAATAAAAGAGCACATGACAAAGTAAAAAGGGGAATTATCAGATATAATAAGGGGCACTCACCATGCAGAGATGAAAAAGGGCACTTACTATACAAACATAAAGGGGCAATTATCAGATGAAAAAAGACACTCATCAGAGATGAAAAGGGGCACTTATAAAAATGAAAAGAGTACATACAGAGGAAAAAAGGGCATACAAAGGAAAAAAAGGGACACCTCTCAGATTAAAAATAAGGCACTTATAAGAGATGAAGGGGCACTCATCAGGTCATGGTAAAGGGCACTTCTTGTATCTGAAAAGGGGCACTCACCTGAGATGAATAGGGGCACATGTGAGAATTGAAAGGGGCACTTATTACAAACGAAAATGGGCACTTATCTAAGGAAAAAAGGAAACCTATGATATTTAAATAGAGGCATCTATCATAATGTGTCGGAAGGGGCGTTTATATAGGAAGGGGGGAGTTGCTCTTATTAAACTTAAGAAAAGGGGCAATTATTAGATGGAAAAAGGGCACTCATTAGAAGAAAAAAAGGGGGGCAGGTGTCAAAATAACAAGGGGACTTATCAAAGGTGAGATAGGACACTCATCACAAGAATGAAAAGAGGGCAAACAAAAGAAAAGGGCACTTGTTAAAGTAAAAATGAGCACCTCTCAGATTTGAAAAGAGGAGCACTTATGAAATATTGGTAACGGGGCACTGCTTGTAAAAGGGCACTCACCTGTAATGAATAGGGGCACTTATTACCAGTGGCGGATCCAGAGGGGTCCGCCCCCCCCCCTGGGAAAAAAACGTGTAAAAACATGTGAAATTGACATTTTTTTGGAGATGGGCACCCTCCTCCCTGACGCTCAAGGGGGGTGCGATTTTTGAAATTTTCGGGAGAAAAAAAATATAGTGTTCACTACTCTCCCTCCCCCCCCCCCTCCCCCCTCCTGAGCGAAATATTGGCCGGCACGATTTTCAAATTTCAGCACACTAAATTTCAAATTGATTTCAAATTTGGCCCCCCCCCCCCAAGAAATCCTGGATCCGCGCCTGCTTAGTACAAAAGAAAAAGCCATTTATTAAAGTAAAAATGAACACCTCTCAGATTTGAATAGGGGCACTTATCAAATGTGGTAAGAGGCATGTGCAACGGACACATATTAGAAAAAAGGGGCACTTATATAAGGTATAAGGGGGCACTGTGAAAAATAGATGGTTATTATCATTTTTTGGTCAATTTAGACTTAGAGATTTTTTGAAAAATCAGAGGCTGGAATATTAATAAGTAGAGGTCAGGTGTATTCATGTTTTGAAATGCTATGTTAGTTGGATTAGAGTGGCCCTTTAAATAGTGCATGGAGTGATATTGTTTAGTGATTCTAGGTATGAGGATGCAATATTATTCTTGGAAATCACTTGACAATCTCACTCCACTATTCAAATCTTTACTCAGAGCCACAAAAGTGCCTGAAAAGCCGGGCAAGGTGCCCCCCCCCCCAAATTTTCATAGGAAATTTTCCCCCTTTTACTTTATAAACGTGTGGGTCGTGGCCCCGCACCCCATCCTTTCTCTTACGGGAGCAAACATAATTTATAACTGCTGTCAAGACACCGTGGATCCTTTATCTGGCCAAATTTGAGGACAAAATATCCGGGGGGGGGGGACCCACATATTGGGACAAACGGTGATGTGCCGCTCTAATGGGTCACTTTTTCACACAAAAATCCCTAAACATGGGTCCCACTTTTAACAAAAACGACATTTAAAATGGGTCCATTAAAAAAAAAAACACCCGAGAATTGTGGAAAAATGGGTCTTTTTATGAAATATTCCAAAATGACCCCTAATAGGAGGCTTGAGCGGCACACCCCTGTCCAAACCAAATTTGAGTATCCCCCCCCCCCCCCGGTCGCGTTATTTTCTTCTGCGGCACAGATTGGGGCTTTTTTTTTTTTTTAAAGAGGTCTTGATGATTTAACCCTAACCCTAACCCTAACCGTAAGTCCCTAACCCTAAACTTTCCCATAGGCTCAACACGCACCTAACCCCAACTTTCTGCCGCCGAAAAAAATAACGCCCCCCGGCCCGGGCAAATATCATGGGCGATCGTAGGGGCCTAGGAGAACAGTACTAATGCAAGGGTCACTCTGTGGCCTGGACCCACCCTCCTCAGAGGTCGCCAAATATCGACGTCGACTCGACGCCTAAGCCTGACCCTGACCTATTTGTTGTTGTAGTGAAGTCCTAACGTTCGTTTTTCTTCATTGGGTGAAGCTTTACTATACAAATTGATGAAATGTGTGAAGCTTTGACGAGTAATTTGTTTTTTCTGGTGATGTGACATCGAATCCAATCGGTCGCCTTGTTTGTTCAGGTGATGTGACATCGAAGCCACTACCGGTCGCGTCGAAAATATGTCGAAATCATGTCGAAATCGTGCGTTTCAAAACAACTATTTAATTTTTATTCCGGTCACTCATGCACTCGCATGATTCATCAAAACCGTTTAGCATTTCTCGCTCCCGGTTAACCGTTATTTGCATACATTTTGGAATGTGCTAATAGCCGATGATAAAGATAATCAAAGAAACCGCAGTGTAATATTACACCCTGGCCGCTGCGCGCTAGCTTTCTGGCAGCAGTTATCCCCATGAATGAATTTGTAAACAATAAAACAACCAGCCCCCTTCTCTCTTTTCTCACCCTCTTTATTCCCTTCTCTCTGCAATGTGTTCATCGCTCATGTACCTTTTCTTATTACTGCACTCTCGGCTCACAACTTTCTAAATGTTTACACATTCGATGGTCAGTTCCTCTCACATCCCTTCTCCCCCGAGTCTCTCTCTCTCTCTTTCAATATTAATATCCATCCCTTGCCGACTCGCCCCCTAAAATAATGTTCATATATAAATAAAATACAAAAATATTGATAACAATAATAATTGAAGTTTTAGAAATATCAATCAACAAAGTCTTGGATATTATTTGTGCGTAATTTAAGTTTTTGATCATTCTTCAATTCAGCCGATTAACACAGCCACCCTTTCTTACTTCGATCTTCACTCATGTCCCTGCCTCGTCCATGCTAGGGACATGCAGGGACATGCTAGCCCATATGCATGCTCTCTCAGTCACACACACATGTACACACAAACCTCCGGCGCCCAAATACACTGTACATACACACAGATGGAGAGCTCATGCTTGTCACATGCACACATGTGGGCGTGGCTTCTTGACCTCCCACTGAACTGGGTACGGTGAAAGCACGCGCGGTCACCAACCTGTAATTTATGCTTGTATCAAACTCCACCCACATAGCTAGAGAACCTTCCTGATTGGTCACTAACTTGGATCAGCTCATTGCAGGGTGTGTCTTGGGTGTGTGTGATACACACTTCCACATAATTTCATATGGCAATGATACATGCAGGGAGCTCTCTCCCTGACCATGTGCAAACATTGCATTGCAAAGGCATATATAAACACGTCACAGATCAGCTATCTTCACAGAGTAACTTTGCAAGGTTAATCATGATATCAAATTCAGATGAGGAATAATAAGACATGTTTTATGTTGTTTATTACTGGTCTCTGTTTATCAGGATGACCCAATTTGTGCCATAGTCCGGGGCTGGGAATGCTCAGCCCGACAGTCTGAAGACCAGCAGGGTTCCGAGCTACAGCACTATTAAAAATACTGTATTTTCACTTTTTCAGATTATTATTAAACGGTTAAACGAAACCGCCCGTATACTTTTAACGGTTAACCGTTTAGCACAAAAACCGTAATGACTCAGGCTTAGGTGAAACAGTGGTGAAGCTTGAACTATGCAAATGGCCAGTATGGTGAAACAGTGGTGAAGCTTCAGACCGGCCGAAAACTTACAAAAGTGAAGCCTCACCTATGGAAAACTGACACAAGTGAAACCTCACCTATGTAAAACTGACAAAAGTGAAGCATCACCTATGCAAATAATTCAAAGGGTGAAGCCTGGACTAACACATTTGCTGATAAGAGTGATGCTTTGCCTTTGTTTTTTGTAAAGCACATGAAGTGATGGTGAAACCCTGAGGTTACAAATAATTGGCTCAGGTGAAGAAAGGTGATGACCTGAGGAGGGTGGGTCCAGGCCACATAGTGACCCTTGCATAAGTGCGGCAACCCTGGGTAAGGGGGTAAACAAGGAATAATATTATTATTATCATCATCAACATTATTATTCATATTATTTTACTATCATTACTATAGCTAGCATTATCAACATCATCATTATTATCATTATTATTTAATTATTGTCATCATTATCTTTATTATCACATTATTGTTATTTTCTTTTCTTTTTCATAATCGTATCAAAACAAAACCGGGGCCTAAATGTTTATGATACGTAGTGCATGGCTTAATCATCCGAAGTTAGTTATTAGTTTTCGCGCCACATGTGACAGGTAATATCATCACCAACCAATCCCATGCGTCGATCAACAGTACCGCCTAACCAAATGTATAAAATTGATTACCTGCCTAACTTTTCAATAATTATCAGCTTTAAACGTTTCCTCACAAACCCAATGGCACCAATTTTCTGCGTGAATGGAAATATTCTGACACACATTGGATTCCAAATTTTATTTTTTATTCCTTGCATTGGAATTTGTGTAAAATATGAATATAAATCTTTTTAAATTACAAATAAGTAACATTTAAGTTACACCTGACTTGGGAGAGCCTGAAAATGTACTGCATTGTGGGTAAACAATAACCACGCGGACAGCTCGTGGTACGATCTCATTGCCAGGGACTTGAAAATTGGGACTCCTTGTGGACGAAGATTTCGAGAGGAAATTTGTCGAAAAACCACGACATTTCAAGATGGCAGGACTGCCACAAGATGTTGTCCAGCAACAACATAACCAGGCAATTCTTGTGCAACAACAGCCGCAATTTGAAGTGACAGAACCGGTTGTAGTCCAGCAACAACAGCAGGTTGTTCGTCGCTTCGATCCTGAAGCCCACGAATTGCACAAAGATTTCCGTCTGACGCGTTACACCGAGTTGAAAGGATGAGGGTGCAAGGTCCCTCGGGAGGCTCTGCTCAACCTCCTGAAGGGACTCGAACCGAATGAAGGGGAACAGGGACAGGGAGATAATGCAGAATACATGCAAGTCCAGTCCGGTGTCCCCAAATTCGGTAAGTATCTTCCTAGACGAGTGTGTATGAAGTGATACATGTTCACATAGTTGCACAGTTAAACTGCTGTCGTGTGGCAGTGGTGCATTACCATTCTTTTCAATCTTGTCAAGAGAAGAGCAGTTTTGTAATTTAAATATCGATATTCTCATAATTATTGAAATAACATAATCTATCAGTGTGGTATGCTTGAAGAAAATTGTTTCAGCATGTTAGAAGAAGGGTTGTAATTCTTAAATTCTGCAGAAAAATCATACAGTGATGTGTCAAATGAGCCTGAGATGTGACAAAGATTGGCGTGGGATGCTGTGGGCTAATTTACATATTATGAATATGCATGAATATGCATGAGGGATGACCGGTACCCTGGCTGGCCTGGGTTGTGATGAGCTGAGGTCTCTGATGGGTTTGCTCCTTTCTAATACAAAAATAATATTCCTTTGATTGCTACTTTGTATGAATTGTATCACTGATTATTGATAAAATCAGAATATTTTCTGTAAATATTTGACTGGATAGAGTTTTACTTCTACTGGAAATTGCGCTGAGCCGGAGTCCGGACTCTTCTGTTTTGCTTTTGTTTTGTTTTTGTTCTTTTTTTAAAACATCTCTATTGTTCCTTCTTCTTTTTTCTTTTTTGATTTGTAGTCTAGTTAATGTTTTTTTTTTTAATGTGACACATTGAAACAAAGAGCATAATTCATATACTGTCTATAGATCTTGAAGTAGACTGCCATTTATATGAACTGAGATTGAGAATCTCTTCTTCCACTTTCTGTCTCAAGAAAGATGGTCACAGACATTTACTAATTTGAAGAAAAAAATAATCAAGTGATTAAAAAGGAAAGAAAAGAATTGTATGTATTTCATTAATCTCATATGTACATGTAGTGTTGAACAAGAATCCTTTTGAACAAATAGTAAGATGACCAAACTTTGACCCAAGAGTATGGTCAGAAATAATCAGAAATGTTTTATGTAATTATTTTTGTTCACTGAAAGTCTAAATAAAAAAACAATTTTGCAATGGTTGACATTATTATTGTTAAAGGTACTAGGGTCTAGACTCTATGTCCCATTTGCAGGCCAAAAAAATGAAAAGGTTAAATTCCAACGGCATTTGAAAGATAATACGAATTTAGAACTTCCCTAAAAAAGGTGGGGCTTGAAAATGTCTTCAAGTGGGAAAATAACGACTGTTAGTTGTCAAATCGACTTAGGAGCTATAGAGCCAATAAGTAATAGTCTTGATTTTCAGACCATTGTACCGAATGGTCATACGTTTTATGCTGCGCAAAGATTCAATCAGTTTAATTTTGGCCATCATAAGAAGTGGGGGGTATTGATAGACAAATGCTCATGTACCCTTTACAGCTCATTTTATGTATGTTATTACCAAAGAAGAAGAAAAAGCCAGTCAGTCACTCGATGTGTCTGACAGTGAAGTCTAGCAAGTAAACAGGTTTCCTTGCATAATTTGAATATTAGGACACTGCTAACTTTTAAATTTCACAGATAGGACATACATGACATATTCATAATTCCTGCAAAGTTCTACAGAATTTGAGGTTGGCTGCAAAAGGGACATAGTACCTTTACGATAAATATTTGCTTTGAACATTCCTGTGCTAATAGTTTCCTTCATACCTGTTTTGATGTGATTACAGGTATTGGTATGGACTGCAGTGTGACACCCCTACGTCATGGCGGTCTGTGCCTTGTACAAACTACAGATTTCTTCTTTCCTCTTGTTGATGACCCCTACATGCAAGTAAGTCTCTGGACATTCTGGAATCCTTTTTTAAATTTTTTTTATTAGTCACTCATTTTGGAGAGTATTGAGATATTAATGGGACCACAAATTTATTAATTTTTTTAATGCACTATTGACTTTCAAAAGGAAATTCATTTTGATGGGCGATGTTAGAGACCTAACATGATTTACTGGTGAAAATTGTACAGTATTACATACATGTATGAGTAATTTATCTCTTGAAAGCTTTAAAAAAAAAAGCTGTGGTAAAGGTAAAAACTAAAAAGAAAGAAAAAAAGATGAACAAATTATGGAGAACTGAACGCAAGTATACTTTGATTGAGTCACTGTTTGGAAATGTTACTTGTTCTATAGTATAGGCAATCGCTAGTCCAAAAACTGTTCATGATAAATTATTATTATTAGGTTTTTTTCTTTACAATTAAGCAAATTTATACCAGGGTGTTAATAATGTTTTTGCCTGTTTGCATAATTATCACTAATTTACCCATCATTGTTGTCTTCTTTCTTCCCTATGACAATAGGGCCAAATTGCCTGTGCTAATGTTTTAAGTGATTTGTATGCGATGGGAGTGACAGAATGTGACAACATGCTTATGTTGCTGGGAGTACCCAAGGCTTTCACCGATAAGGAACGAGATGCTATCATGCCCCTCATCATGAGAGGCTTCAAGGTATGAGAAATCTCCAGTTTTAATCAAAACTTCAATATGGCTGTGACCACTTTTTATCACTCATTGACTCATGGACTGTTTATAGATATGTATGGGAATGAAGCCTATACTATTATGAAAATAATTCTACTAAGTTGATGGTATTGAGGGAAGGTATGAAGAAAATTAGATAATGGTGCCAAGTCAAGTCAATCCAAAGGTTTTCCAGGTACAAAATAAATATTTTAAAAAAAACGATTTTGTAAATTGCCTCATGCTTTGCATGACTCAGTTGATTTCTAGAACATACAAGGTACTGATTGGTTCAATTTATGCTCACACGTACAGTTCGTTTTGCCTGTGAAACATACCTCAAGGTATCAGGTTAACCCCACTAAACAAAAGCCTATACCTAGCATCGGGTTTGATTTAGTAAATGGGCCTTTGTTTACGGGTCATAGATCTAGAAAGTTTCAATCAGAGAATCAGAAAGTGTATTTTTGCTCTTATCCTCTAATCTAGGACAAAGCCGCAGAAGCTGAGACATCTGTGACTGGTGGCCAGACAGTTATCAACCCATGGTGTCTTGTTGGTGGTGTAGCTACATGTGTATGTCTACCAACAGATATTGTGAGGTAAGGGCAATTTGTAGGTATTGATAAAATCAGGGTTCCGACCAAAAGACCCATTTTTATAGAAAGCACATGAGATTAACCTTTCTTCACATAGTCAATAAAGAACAGAGGGTCCTCCTACCCTCCCCCACCTTCCCAGAAATATCATGATTGCTTCAAATGCAATATGTAAGCTTCAATTGTACAGCCTTCAACATTTTTGTTTCAAGACTGTCTAAGAGAGGTTTAACTACATGTATATGCGTGATAGTATAGATTCAAGAGAATGTCATGTTCAAAGAATATCATAATAGAAATGTTGGATTGGTTTTCAAATGACCTCATATTTGAAATGTGACAAAAAGTAGCTGAAATATTTTGATCAACTTTCATGCCACATATTTGCAGTTACATAAACCTATATGTGTGCAGTACGTGTGATTTTCAGCAAGATTGAGTAAATTTTTTGTCATTTTAATGATTCTAAAATATTGATACTCACCAATTGCTCTGTACTATATAAATCCGCCTTTCCACTTAAAACAGCCCACTCAAATCGAACAAGAACTGTACGTTGATCACTTTCACATCTTTAATTTCCTCCTTTTACCAGCCCCAACAATGCTGTGGTTGGTGATGTCCTGGTGTTGACCAAGCCTCTAGGTACCCAGATAGCCGTCAATGCCCACCAGTGGTTGGACCAGCCGGAGAAATGGAAGAAGATCCAGTCTGTGGTATCACCTGAGGAGGTGGAGAGGGCTTATCAAGAGGCCATGTACAACATGTCACTCCTCAACAGAACCGGTAAGAAGGATAGCATGTGGGTCTTTCTACTCTGACAACATTCTGTATTATATTATCTATAATTAGTTTCCTATTTTGTTTTATTTGTTTGATCAGTTGATATTTTCTCTTACACTTTATTCTTTGGATGATGTGATAAAGATCATTTGAGGTTTTCTATTTTTTCCAGTCTATTGCTCATTGTTAGTAAAACATGAACATATTTCCTGAAATATACCACCTTCCAATAAGTGTAAGTACATAGAAGGTATTGAATCCTTTTACACATTAAGCTTATGTGACCACAGCACCAGATGTCATTTGGCTATTTATTGCTATTTGCTGTTGATTGAATGGATGAATGAATGCATTTGTATACCTACATTTTGGGAGATGTCTTTTGCAACTTGCCTTAAGTTTTGATACAGTCAACATTGCAATTGATATCACATCTACTTCTCTGTGCTTACCTTTAGCTGCCTCACTGATGAGGAAATTCAATGCCCATGGATCGACTGACGTGACTGGTTTTGGAATCCTAGGCCATGCCAAAAACCTGGTGGAGAATCAGAAGAACGAGGTACGCTTTGTCATCCACAACCTGCCCGTCATCGCAAACATGCAGAACGTTGCCAAAACCTGCGGAAATCAGTTCCAGCTGCTTCAGGGCTACTCTGCTGAAACATCAGGTAGGTTGATTTATAATATAAGTTTGGTAAGATAGCATATCCATCCCCATTATTCAAGATATCACCCTGGAACTTCAAATGCACTAAGTGCATTTGGTGAGAGGAATGCTTTTATATCTAATTTGCATTTAGCGAGCAAATGCAATTAGAGTTCATCCCTTTATGGGTCTCGGTAGTCAACATTTTTTTTTTTGCCAAACTTGACAACTATATACTTATGAGTTCAGTCATTTTCTTTATTATACTTAAAATAATGTTTTCGCAAGGCTCTGTGTAGTTTTGGAAGCAAATTGCCCACAACACCACTTTTACTTTAGAATATTGTGAAATACTTGTCAGATTTATGTTGGTTTGCATTTACACAATATTGAGAAAAGAAAAAGATGAAGTTGAGTAACAACATATTCTTACAGCCCATAGTTCCTATGAGATGCAATTCTCAGTTTTTCTTTTGGTACTATTGCAGGTGGTTTGCTGATCGCTTTCCCTCGTGAGCAGGCTGCTGCATTCTGTCGTGAGATGGAGAAGAGCACTGGCCACACAGCTTGGATCATTGGCATAGTAGACAGGGGTTCACGCACCGCGCAAATCATCGAGAAGCCTCGTGTTATAGCCGTCACCACCAAGATGAATTAGGACATTGAGAGGAAAAGTGTACACAGAAGAATGTGCAACACGGCGAATTCCATTCTTTTGTGATTTGAACACTGATATTTAACATCAATGAACAGTGACCATGTGCTGGTGCATATTTTTAATCGGGTTCTTCTGAGGCTTCAGTGGCGGAATCCAAGATGAGAAATAATTCTGTTTTGAGAAATGGCTCCTGCATTATTCAATTGACCAGGAGGCATCCAATAGATCAATCAATCCTCATGGTTGTTAGTTCTTAAAAATATGAGGTATAAATGTTTTGAAGTTCCTGGCGAATGAAATTATGAATTCTGTAATTCTGACTATTTCTACTCTTGAGGTGAGTTAATAATTTGAGTAAGCAATCAGAAAATAATGTAAGTCACCCTTGCACTAATAGCATCATTTTGTTTAATGAGAAATTCTTCAGAAATCTTAATATAGCTTGTTTACTCATCACCTCATTTTCAATATACTGTACAATTTGCACTGTTAAAGTTCTTGTCAATGCTGCTATACAATTTTCAAATATCTGTCATTCTAATTTCTGTCATTAACATTGACATGACACATGTTGTGACGTTACAGTAGTTAAGTTCAAGTTCAGGTGAACATCTAACATTAATTAATGGAACTTCATGAGATCCTGATAGAATCGAGGCCTGTAAAAAAATATGGCATACCAGTCAGATCTGAGCCAAAAATAAACTGAGTTATTTTTCTGGGAAAGTGATGAAAAGTGAAACTAAAGGAATGATCATAATGAAGAAAAAAGAGGAAAAGATGATCTAGTGATTATTAAAATTTCATAGCAGATAACTGTCATTTTAAGCTGAATACATTTAGGCAAAAATCATCTAATCACATGTACGTATATTCATATTGCATGTAGTGAACTTCTAATTGCCATTTGATGTCTATTTGGGGGTCAAAATAACATATCATTTGGCAAAACATTCCAATGGACAAAAATATGTTATAATTGCTTCTTAACTGTCCTTTACAATTCTTGTTTTCGTATAATCTAGTTGCTGTTATGCAGACACAACCGTAAACTCATTTCCTTTCCCTCGAGTTGAGTGCATAGTGATTATATCCAATGCATTTTTAGCTCTTTTGTGTCTTAAAGATTTTTGTTGAACTTATTGAATGGAGTGGATAATTGTTCCCCCTCAAGCTGGCCTGCATGCTAATTGGTCCGGGTATTGAGCAAACACTGGAGTACAATTGCATGCATGCTCTGATTCAAAAGCTTTTGGGTCTCCATCACATTTCACCGCTGCTTGGCCTAGCTCTACATGAAGCTGCATCCGTAAACCAACCGGGATGGATTTCTCGGGTGGGGCGATGTGGTGGATCTCTTTCTCGAGCTTGTGCCAAGCCTGGTGATGTGATGCAGATTAGGTTCCTATCTTTCCCTCCTTATTATGTTTTTGTATTTTTTCCTTTTTACTTTTTTGAAAATCTGTTTCATTTTCCAGAAATCATTGCGAAATGTCCAGCTTACACTTTTCATTGCATTGCAGATCATTCAGCATTACAGTTCAATAAAAACTTCATGTATTGCTGTCAATATCTTTGTGAATGTGTGTGTGTCTGGTTCTACTGTGCTACTTTGTTCATACCATTTGCTCTACCGTCTCATAACACAATACTATTAAGGTTTGCATCATACATCATAGTCATACCCATGGCTTTTTATGCCTCCTTTACGAAGTAGCCGGAGGCATTATGTTTTTGGGTTGTCCGTATGTCCGTCCGTATGTCCGTCCGTATGTCTGTACGTCCCGTTCTCATCTTGGTGGTGACGGCAATAACACGAGGCTTCTCGATGATATATGCGAGTGCGTGAACCCCTGTCTACAATGCCAACAATCCAAGCTGTGCAGTCATGTATGTATCTTGCAGAGTTAATGAATTGATTAGATTTTGGGGTCACGAGGTCAAGGGTCACAGTGCTCATTATGTATTCTAAAATAGCTTGTGATCGCGTTATCTCAAGAACCGATTGATTGATCCCTGCCAAACTTATGTCATGTATGTATCTTGCTGAGCCAATGAATCGATTAGATTTTGGGGTCAAAGGTCATGGGGCTCATTATATATGCAAAAATAGCTTGTGATCACATTATTATTAGAACCGATGGACGGATTACCATCAAACTCAAGACCTGATGTATGTTGCAAAGCCAATAAACTGATAAGATTTTAGAGTCATGAGGTCAAAGATAAAGGAGATAAAGGGGATAAAGGTCATACATTTATATGTAAAACTAGATTGTAATCACAATATTCTGAGAACCTGTTGGATTACAATTAAACTTGAATATGAACAATTGCTTCTGTTTTAGTTTGTGAAATCGCTCTATGGCGGAGGCATCATTTCCGACTACACGCAGTCAAAGTTCCATCTAGTTTTATAATACATGACTAGGTTAACAATATAGGAGAGTTATAAAACAGAAATAATTGTCACATCACATTTTATGTCATCCACATTCTTTCAAGCACACGCATCTTCATACATCATACTTATTTCACATGTTATTTTGCATATTATATAAATATCTATCCAAACATAGTAACCAAAAATAATATTTACTCTTGGTGGAATTTATAAGTATTCTCCACCAAACAACATGTATACACAAATATTTTAAAACGTCGGAGAATGAAAAGTTTGTCACTTTACTAACGATCTCTATTGAAATGACCAGGTTTTCTTTGATTTAATGGGGTTTACATATATATTTGCATTAGTGAGCAGACTTTTGCTGATTTTAAAAATGTTCACCCTATTTAATCAACCAATACACGCCTGAAAGATTGAACAGAGATTTCTACCTTGTTAATCAACGCATCCTATGAAGCAGTGCTTGGGAAAACGCTCAGTGCGTACCAACACAGCTGATAAACTCACATGCAGTGATTTAATGCGGTAGTAATTTCATATTTTTGTATGTATTTTGATGATATTTCTAGCCAATAATTATGTGTAAATAACTGCAATGTTTCAATTGTTATGAAGAAAAATAAAATTGAGAATTGACATGAAAATTTCCTTTGGTGATGTTTAATGTCACAGGTGTGGGATTTACGTTTGAACTCGAGTAACCAAGTCCATTTGCAAAAGGAAATAAATTGAGAATTGACATGAAAATTTCCTTTGGTGATGTTTAATGTCACAGGTGTGGGATTTACGTTTGAACTCGACTAACCAAGTCCATTTGCAAAAGGAAATAAATATACACAGAATGACAGAATCTGGACACCGTTAAAGGTTTCACTATACCGTATACCATATTGAAATATTTGTAATACCAGTGGCGGATCCAGGGGGCCCGACCCCCCCCCCCCCCTTGAGAAAAAAAATCATGTAAAAACACGTGATTTCCCCCCCCCCCCCCTCCCCCACTGAGCGACTGTTCGGCCTGCGCGATTTTCAAATTTTCGGGAGCAAAAAAAAAATAATGCTCTCTACTACCCCCTACCCCCTCCCCCCCCCCCCCCCCCCCCCCCCCCCCCCCCCCACTGAGCGACTTTTCGGCCGGTGTGATTTTCAACTTTGGCGGGAGCAAAAAAAAAAAAAAAAAAAAGTTGGGCCCCCTCCCCTAAGAAATCCTGGATCCGCGCCTGTGTAATACTATAAAGAAGTATTGGGTAAACTGATCTATGGGCCCACCCCACTTGTAAAATAATGTTTTGGGTTGATTGCGAACATAGTACATGTATTAGAGATACATAGGTCTCAAGTGAACTCTAACCCTGCATCCTTTTTACCATGGGTGTCGATCCCGGGGGGATGGGGGGATATATCCCCCCCCCCCCCTATATTTCAGGTGGGGGGATGGCCTGTACAATCACCCCCCCCCCCAATAATTCACCATCAAAATAAAAATGTAGAGACAAATTAATGAAGAGAGCCCGATGAGATAGTTAATGGTTATTACCCGCAAGATGACCATCAATACACATTTTGCCATCTCATTTTCAGAATACATACGTAAATGAGACAACCGTATAATTCTCGCTCATACGGCTTTATCAGGAATTGATGAATTTATTTATTTTGTTTTATTTACCCAGGGCAACCCCATCAGTGAGTAAAACACTGTTAAATTTATTCAATTTATTTAATCAACAGCATCATAGAAATGCAGTGCGCCAAATGCAAAGCCGCAGCGTTAAAAAGCAACGAGCTAGCGCGAAGCGCAAAAGTGCAAAAAAGAAGTAGTAAGTGGGAGAGAGAGATAATGAGGGACAGAGAGGATACAGGCGCGTAGCCAGGGGACGGTTGGGGTGGTCGCCCCCCCCCCCCCCGAAAAAAAAAACGCTGGCCAAAAAAGAGAGAGAGAGAGAACTAGAAATGAAGATGACGTTGGAAGAAAAAGGATTAAGAGTTGAGAACGGCACAACGAATCGTCTTCTTTCTCTAATAATTTAATGAAACGTCAAAAGAAACTGAATTTAGACAAGGATTAAGAGTCGAGAACGGTACAACGAATCATTTTCTTTATTAATAATGAAACGTCAAAGCTTCCGCGCGGGAGGGGGGGGGGGAACTGAATTCAGACAAGGATTAAGAGTCGAGAACGGTACAACGAATCGTCTTCTTTCTCTAAAACTTTAATGAAACATCAAAGCTTCCCCTCCCTGCATATTCTGGTGGAAGGGTAAGGGTTTATGAGGGACCAGTACCATGCAGCAGAGAAGAAATATAACCTAAATCCCAATATTTTGTTATCTTCCATTACGGACAGATTTCTTGGGGTTTTTCCATTATAATTGAATATTTCTGCTTCCATTTAAGACAATTTTATATGAATGATCAACCCTCATCCAATTTCTCAGTGCCTTCCTAGAAACTGCCGACTCCATTTGTGAAAAAAATACAAATATCTTTGTAGACTACATGTATTCGGAAGAAAAAAGGAAACAAAACAAACATCTGTTTAGCAGACTGGAACCAGACTGGGCGTCAATGGTCAAATTGGACTACAATCTACAAATAAATACAACCAACAACTAGCTTGGCAAAGTTCTTCAAGTTCAGTGGTACGTTTACATGCACCCGACTGTGAGCATCCACAGTGCAGTGTAGTCCAAAAGACTATAGCCTACCATAAATTTTGAACAACTAAACAAAAGACCATGATTCGAGCTTTCGTGAACTTCTCTCATCTGCGATCGATTAGACTTAGAAGTATGGTTTTTCACCGAAATACATGCGGATCTCGAAGGTTTTACACTGGAAAACTAGGTGGGAGCTCGAGCTTCTTCTCGCACTCACGAAGTTCAACATTTGATGGTCATCGCAGCCGAAACTTTCCCGAGGCGAGGTGAGTAGGACACAGTTTAGGTGTGTGTGTGTCATAGAGATATATACTACTATTAAACACTATCTCTATGGTGTGTGTGCTGTAGCTGTCGTGTATGGCACGCCTTTAGAGAAACAAATAAATATATGCGACACTTTCAAAAAATATATTTCACTCAAATGTATATATTCGACAATGTCAGAAAACATTGATTTGACAAGAATTTTATTCGACATAAATTTCATTCGACACATTGTTCGTCAAAAATTGTATTTGTCAAAAATTTATTCGACAAAAATTTCATTCGACACAAATTTTATTCACGGAAGCACTTCCCCCTCTATTTTCTCCCTCTTCTTTCTCGTTATTGGTACCACCCATAGAGATATATATCTCTATGGTACCACCTCATCATTTGACCTTATATTCACTTTTGATTGTAATTTGTTATTATTGTTGGGGGGGGGGTAGTCCTCGACTACCCTTTCTACCTTTGCTGATTTGTTTCTATTTCAAACATAAATTGGAGTCGTTTTATTGCATGTATATGTATTTGATTTTATGTATTTTTCTATGTTTGGCATTTGTGGAGAAATACATTGAATTGCATTGAAGTTCAATGGACTTCTTTCAAAAGAGTATGTATACAGTATGAGTATATTACCTACTTTATTAATTATTAACAGTGAGTAGGATTGTTTGCATGAGGATGATGAGAAGAGGGAGGGCATACTGATGTAGACTGGAATTGAATGGATAGGGGATAGTGGTGGTGGTGGTGGGGGGGGGGTGGCGTTATTGGAATATAAAGGAGTGTATATTACCTACTTCGTTTCCACATACCTCCCAACCCCCCCTCCCCCCAATCCACTAGCTCTTTACCCGGGTCGACTATAGATTATACTATGCCCACACCTTCATTTCGTCCTAAAACAATCTATATAGAAAATGAAAAAGTGAACAAAGTAGGTAATAGACACGAATTTGTGCCCCCTTAACGCCCCCCCCCCCCCCAACAAGCCCCTTACCATCCAGACTACATGACTTTGCCCTCCCTCTTCTCATCTCTCATCACCCTCAAACAATCCTGCCCACTGTTCATTGACCAGAGGCTATATAGGCCGCGACGTGGATCTATAGTCTTCGTATCGTAAACGCGCCTGTTGCGCGATCGTGCACGGTGCAGGTTTAGTTGTGTAAAGTATCGCATGTATTCTGGGTGAGTCGAACAGCTTTTTTTGAGACGAATAACTTTTTTGAGACGAATAACTTTTTTGTGGCATGCAGAATAAAATTTGTGTCGAATGAAATTTTTGTCGAATAAAATTTGTGTCAAATGAAATTTTTGTTCAATAAAATATGTGTCGAATAAAATGTGTCGAATGAAATTTTTGTCGAATAAAAGTTTTGTCGAATAAAAGTTTTGTCGAATAAAATTTTTGTTGAATAAATTTTTTGATAAATACAATTTTTGACGAACAATGTGTCGAATGAAATTTATGTCGAATAAAATTCTTGTCAAATAAAACTTGTCAAATGTCTTTTGAAGGTGTCAAATATATAAATTTGAGTGAAATAGTGTCGCATATATTTATTTGTTTCCCTAAATGCGTGACATAGTCGTGAGTCATGTAAAAGGCCAAGGGTCAGGAACCCAACACAAATCTGTCTGCTCGGAGGCAGTTTTTAAATTATGGTCACTCATCCATGCCATGGGGTCAGGGCAGGGAAAAATTAATATTTATTTTTCGGGGGCTACTTTTCAAGCTTGCCTGCATAAAAATTACTCTCTAATTCTAAAAATTGTTTTGCATTGAACTCTAAATTACGCCGGGGCTCTTTTCTGATTTTCGGGGGCTCTTTTGGGCATTTCGAGGGGAAATTCGCCCTGAGCCCCCGTGTATTTTTTTCACTGGGTCAGGGTCATGTATCTGGAATAAGGCTATACGTATAACTTATAAGCTTGAAGTTGTTTACTATTTATAGCTTGCTTGTATACTTTTTATGCCCATATTAAATAAGAAGAAAAGGTGAGAGGAGATATGGAAGCCGAATTTTATGCATTAAGACCCCATTTTCTATCATTAACTGCTCTATAAGTTGACACCAAAACTTAAAAAATATTAGTTCCACCCAGTTCTTATATTAAATAACAAACACAGTGATTGAAGGTAAAGACCAGTTTTGGAAACGCCCCGGCCCCCTCTCAAAGAATGAAATGGAAGCTCTTTTTACCGGTACCAATCATGTGAAATATGTTTTGACTAATACGTGATGATACAAATTTTGCCTAATTGATATACACGCGATATCTATCAGGTCCAAATAGATATCTATTTGGACCTGATAGATATCGCGTAGTCCCATATACATCTTTCTGTGTACAGTGCTTGTAACTTTACCAAGACTCCATGGGCCAGAATCTTGCAGTACACACCAATAATATGCTAGATGATCAACCTTTCAGTCTGATCGATTCCACAACGTTTCTTTCACAATGCAATCACTTGACCATAACTGGCCTTTATCTTTAATCCTCCATAACCTTGCACTATGCCAATAACAAAGGTCAAGTTAGAATCATGGAGATATAAGATAGATATCTCCATGGTAGAATATATAAGTCTTTATCTCGTATACTGGGCACTAGAATCACGAGAACGGTACAACGAATCGTCTTCTTTCTCCAATGATTTAATGAAACATCAAAGCTTCCGCGCTTTGCGCGGTGGCAAGGGGGGGGGGGGGGGACTGAATTCAGACAAGGATTGAGAGCCGAGAACGGTACAACGAATCGTCTTCTTTCGCTAATAACTTAATGAATCGCCAAAGCTTCCGCTCTTTGCGCGGGAGGGGGGAACTGAATTCAGACAAGGATCAAGAGTGATTATGTGATTAAACGTCAAAGCTTACGAGCTTCGCGCAGGAGGGGGGAGAGGACAACGGAATTCAGACAAGGATTAAGAGTCGAAAACAGTACAACGCATCGAATTCTTTCTCCAATGATTTAATAAAACATCAAAGCTTCCGCACTTTGCGCGGGAGGGGGAAACTGAATTCAGACAAGGATTAAGAGTCGAAAACGGTGCAACGAATCGTCTTCTTTGAATTCAGACAAGGCCTAAAGAGTAATTATGTAATGAAACGTCAAAGCTTACGCGCTTCGCGAAGGAGGGGGAGAGGACAACGGAATTCAGACAAGGATTAAGAGTCGAAAACTATACAACGCATCGCCTTCTTTCTCTAATGATTTAAAGAAACATCAAAGCTTCCGCGCTTTGCGCGGGTTCAAGGGGGGGGGGGCTGAATTCAGACAAGGATTGAGAGTCGAGAACGGTACAACGAATCGTCTTCTTTCGCTAATAATTTAATGAATCGTCAAAGCTTCCGCGCGGATCGAGGGACAACGGAATTCAGACAAGGCGAAAACAGTACAACGCATCGCCTTCTTTCTTCAATGATTTAATAAAACGTCAAAGCTTCCGCGCTTTGCGCGGGTGCAAGGGGGGGGGGGGGGGGGACTGAATTCAGACAAGGATTGAGAGCCGAGAACGGTACAACGAATCGTCTTCTTTCGCTAATAACTTAATGAATCGCCAAAGCTTCCGCTCTTTGCGCGGGAGGGGGGAACTGAATTCAGACAAGGATCAAGAGTGATTATGTGATGTAACGTCAAAGCTTACGAGCTTCGCGCAGGAGGGGGGAGAGGACAACGGAATTCAGACAAGGATTAAGAGTCGAAAACAGTACAACGCATCGAATTCTTTCTCCAATGATTTAATAAAACATCAAAGCTTCCGCACTTTGCGCGGGAGGGGGAAACTGAATTCAGACAAGGATTAAGAGTCGAAAACGGTGCAACGAATCGTCTTCTTTTGAATTCAGACAAGGCCTAAAGAGTAATTATGTAATGAAACGTCAAAGCTTACGCGCTTCGCGAAGGAGGGGGAGAGGACAACGGAATTCAGACAAGGATTAAGAGTCGAAAACTATACAACGCATCGCCTTCTTTCTCTAATGATTTAAAGAAACATCAAAGCTTCCGCGCTTTGCGCGGGTTCAAGGGGGGGGGGGGCTGAATTCAGACAAGGATTGAGAGTCGAGAACGGTACAACGAATCGTCTTCTTTCGCTAATAATTTAATGAATCGTCAAAGCTTCCGCGCGGATCGAGGGGACAACGGAATTCAGACAAGGCGAAAACAGTACAACGCATCGCCTTCTTTTTTCAATGATTTAATAAAACGTCAAAGCTTCCGCGCTTTGCGCGGGTGCAAGGGGGGGGGGGGGGACTGAATTCAGACAAGGATTGAGAGCCGAGAACGGTACAACGAATCGTCTTCTTTCGCTAATAATTTAATGAATCGCCAAAGCTTCCGCTCTTTGCACGGGAGGGGGTAACTGAATTCAGACAAGGATCAAGAGTAATTATGTGATGTAACGTCAAAGATTACGCGCTTCGCGCAGGAGGGGGTTAAAACATGCATAAAATTCAATCTTTATGATATGAGGTAGCTTTGTATGGTAGACAAATTGTAATGCTTGGAATCTATAAGGTCATGAGGATCTTCTAGATTGGCAAGGTTGGTATGTTGCTTTTATTTGTTTCATTTTTATCGGTCTTTTCTGACCTTTTCCTCTATTGGTTTTAATTATTATAGTGCGATTAATTCAAAGGACCAAGCTGCTGCCACTTTGATGGTGCTATCAGTAGAGTGTGATTCAGCTTTTATGGTGTATCGAGTCTACATTTATCGATATGCCAATGTCAATTTTAGTATTAGTATTTCTTCCTGTATGAGCACAATTTTATTGGTATATGCCTGGGCTTATGTGGGTTTACACTTCTGCGATTAGCTAGGACTGGTGTATCTTACGATGGGTGCAGTGGGATCTGTCAAAGTCGTCCTTGATGAGTGGTGAATTAAGGCTTTAATGGTTAGATCGTCAATGTCTTCATTGGCCATTTCATTAAAACCATGGAGCTCTAGTCTCTTGTTTATTTCTTCCATTTAATACATAGACTTGTTACCACACCAAGAAAGATGTCTTCCACTGTACCAGCTGAATGGAGGAAATTTATCACCAAATTTCAGGAGGCAAAGACAGAACAGGATGGCCTTGCCAAGATTTTCATTAACAAAGATCTTAGCTATGGAGAGTTCAACAAATTTGGTAAGGTCATAATAAGAAGAGCCACTTGATGTCCATTCAGGCGCGTAGCAATGGGGCGGTGGGGGCAGTCACCCCCTCCTCCCCCCCCCCCCAAAAAGCGCCTGCCAAAAAAGAGAAAGGGAGAGAGCGAGAGAGGAGAAAAAAGGGAGAGGACGACCCGTAGGAAGGAAAAAGAGCAGACAAAGACTTATACGATACAACGAAGTGTCTTCTTTCTCTAATAATTGAATGATGTCAAAGCTTCCACGTTTCGCGCGATAGGGGGAGGGGGGGGGGGGGACTGAATCCAGACAAGGATTAAGAGTCGAGAACGTCCAATACTCGACTTCTTTCTCTAATGATACTTAATGAAACGTCAAAGCTTTCGCGCGGGAGGGGGAACTGAATTCAGACAAGGATTTGCTTTGCTTTGCGCGGAAGGGTGGGGACTGAATCCAGACTTTAGAGTCGAGAACGGTCCAACGAATCGTCTTCTTTCTCTTATGATACATTATTTTAATGGGAGGGGGAAACTGAATTCAGACAAGGAATAGGAGTCGAGAACGGCACAACGAATCTTCATCTTTCTCTAATAATTTGATGAAACATCAAAGCTCCCCCCCCCCCCTAGGGAGCGCGCTTTGCGTGCCCAATACAACCCCCCCCCCTAAAATTAAATCCTATAGCTACGCACTTGTGTCCATTTGATTTGTACTTTTAGGCACATGACATTGTATCGTTTACCTAGATTTTCAAACCTGAGAATTGACCATCAGCCTTAAGTGGTCTTTAAAAAAATTATGAAGCTGCAGTGGATAAAAATCAAAGTGATGGAAATCAAAGCAACTAAAGTCATCTTTTTTTATACCAAAAGTTCCAAGTTTTCATTTTCCAAGTGGGACACATATATCAGAAAGGAGATGAACATGTGAAATGGTATACATTTCTAACTTAATTTTCAAAGTATAAATGGGAACAACATTAAGAACAAAGAGTTATTTCTTTCTGTATTCCGTAAATATCCGTGTATAAGACGCAATTTTTTGCCGCCGAAAAAAAAAATCAGGGGGTACGTCTTATACACAGGTTAAAAAAATAAAAATAATAAATTAAAAGTTTCGATTTATGCCCCTCCACCTAGCTGGCGTTATACCTGGTAATGTTTCCCAGCTCAGTAATCGGTGTGTTGACTCACCGATCGGAAACTATAGAACAGTCTTGAACACTCAAATTTGTCTGTCACCTTGGTTTGAAAGTAATCGTTCTGATAGATCTCAATAATGTAGTTCCTTTACTGTGTTTTAATTTACATTAATGATCTTACACATTCAACCGCACCTCGCGGTGAAATGAAAGTCCTTCCCGCGTGGGTTTTTTAACACGGACCTGGCTTGCTGTCGACTAAGTCGGCAAAAATAAATTGGCCCAAAATTAGGGGTGCGTCTAATACACGGATATTTACGGTAATACATATTAAATATTATCAAGGTCTTAATATCCCTGAATATACTGGGAAAACCAGTTCTTAATATATGGCATTTCTTCATTTTCTGCTGTTATACCATCATTCAGTACTTTTGAGGATTATGAGCAGAGAGAGACATTGTCTCTGTAACGATAAGTGTTTGTTTTTAGCCACCTTTGTTGATTTTGTTTTATACATGATAAGTCTTGTCATGATATCTTCCACAGGGAAACTCAATCCATGGTGTATCTTCGACTACTGTGAAGCCAGTCTCAATCTCTTCCAACCAGACTTCACAGGCAATGAGCATTTATCATTGTTTGGCCGCAACGTCGAGGTTAATCTAAAGGAGGGCACTGAAGGCAGAATCCAAATTGACCAAGCCCTCAAGTTTAAAATCTGCTTGACTTACTTAGGGAAGAGTTCAGCGTATTGGGAAGCACAGTGCATGGATCTGAATACAGATGAAGAACTGGCAAACTATTGGATTCAGATGGTCACTGTGGATATGAAAGACCGTAAGCCAAAGCCATTTGCGTACTTGCTTGAGGACTTCTGTCCAAAGAACCTTCGAGAAGAGCCGCCAAATGGTTTTGATCTCGAGTTCAAACCAGAGACAGCTTTCAAGCATGAGTTTGTTGTCAATTGGAGCGATACTGACTTCAATTCTCACTTGAATCAAGCTGATATGTGTCGAATGTGTGTAGACTGCGGCAGTTTTGCTGCAACGCAGAATTATCTTTCTGCCTTCAGTGTGTAGTTGGTAGCTTATGATCTAAAAAGATGTTCGTTCATGTTCATGAAAGAAGCGCGCCCTGGAGAGAAGGTCCTGGTGGAATGCTGGGAATCTGAAGGGAGCCCTCTGGTGTTGAACTTTGCATTTTCAAGGAGAATAAACTTATCACCATGATACAGTTGGAATACTTCTCAGGTGATGTTAATGCTGCTTCCAAGTTGTGAAATTGCACATCATAATTAAATTTATTTAATTTTGACTTATTTGTGATGAGAAAGAAATGAGCAGATGTGTAATTTCCACAAGTTATAAACTACGGTATACAGTCTGGGTTCAAGACTAGCAACTAATGAAAAACATAGGGAGATGTTAGTCCACTCAGTTTACTCAATCAGCTCTCTTTTGATTTCAATAATATGGTTAAAGAAACCTCTCCTAAAGATGACTAGGTATTCTGAAAATAAGATGTATCAAGTTCCTTACGAAAATGTACAAGAGAAGAGATACATGTATATAAAATTATGAATGAAGGTATTCTTGGCATGATGTGATGCCTTTTTCGCATGACATGGGCGCAGCAATGTTCTTGAAAATGTGACGCACAGTTGAAGTTGTACATGTATCATGCACTAAGTTTTAGTTGAAAAGACTTTTTAAATCAATAACAAAACCTTTACTTTTCAATGAGGAAAAAATAGCTGAATAGATATTTTACATAATATTTGGTGAAAGATAGATAACAGCCTACAGGGGAGCAATTGTAACTAATTCATTAAATAATACTAAAATATAGCTGTTGACAAATGTATTTCATTTATGAGAACCTTCACCCTAGAAGAGGACCAACTTATATATGCAATTTGCATTCTGGCAATTGTAGTACAAGCAGGTGTAGCTTCACACTCAGACTTTCCTTTGTTGATTAATGCAATTAATGTCCATTTACAATTTGTGCATTCTTGGCTTTTATGTAATAGATTATCATTGAATGTTCTGAAAACTATTATGTTATGTTCCGTAATCCCCAAAATAAGTTAGACGTTTATAATGATATATCCATTTTTATTAATACTAATAAAATAGAGAATTGTTCAACAATTACATATTTAGGAATTGTGTTGGGACGAACATTTATCATGGGATCCTCACATTAATTATACTTGTTCGAAAATTTCTCGCAATATTGGTTTACTTTGTCACATGAGACACTTTACAAATTTTATTTTTGATGATTCTCTGGGCTAATCCTTATCCTTCAAAATTAATTAAATTACACAGTCTTCAAAAAAGGCATTACGCATTTGCTCAAATGCAGATTATCGGGCCCCATCACAACCATTTTTTTACAAATTTAAAACGTTGAACGTTTTTGATATTAATAGATTAAAAATGGATATACTTATGCATCATTACTATTTAGATACATTACCGGAATATTTGATGAATATGTTTTCTTGAAATGTCCATGTCCACAATTATAATACTAGACACAACCAGTTATTCCATCAATCAAAGTCACATCTCACTCTCTCTTTTTAAGTCCATTCGGTTCGTTGGTCCCATTACATGAAATACATTATCCCCCTTAATACGTAATACTCAATTTGGAAATTCTTTTAAAAATAAGTACAAGCGTTATTTACTGTCTCAGTATGTTTAAGTTAAATGCAATTTAGTATGTAACCGTCAGCTACCTGAAATTTATATAATGTTTTTCATTCTTTGTATTAAATGGGTGTATCAACTTGTCAGCCACATAGGCTTTTACTGATACACCCTATTTCATTTCCCAACTATTTGAATTTAAATGTAATTACTTTGTTTCACATATTTAAGTTTAATTTAAATATGTACGTTGTAAAAGTTTATGACCTGTTTTTTTTAATTTTTTTTTTTACTGAATTCGAAATAAAATGTATCGATAAAAAAGGTGAATAAAATGCTTCATCACCACACACACCTGGGAAGGAAGCATCCATAAATTTGAATACATTTACTTAATCAACGATTTCACATAGTAATACTTCCCCCCCCCCTACTCAGTGTTATTTAGGGTACGCGTATGATGTTCCCTCCCTTTGAAATCACCGCCCTCAGTAAAAAAAAAAGTACCCCCTTTACCGTGTTTTTGGGGTCAAACCTACCCCCCCCCCCCTCCCTCCCTCATTTTGTTTTTGTCTATGTTTGGAGGAAACTTCCCCCCCCCCCCTCAATTTTTTGTTTGTTTGTAAACAAATAATAATTTTTTTTTTTAAATTGTGCTAATGGGTGACCAGAAAAGGTGACCTTACCACCCCCCCCCCCCCCCCCCCCCCCAACGGAACGAAATATCGAACGGTCAAATAACATATAATTTGTCTAAATAATAGGTTTACAAACGGCGCCTAATAGTTAAGTGCCGCTTCAAGGTGATGAAGATAATTATATCATAGAATCTATCAATTCATAAATTTTGAAGAATAAACGAAAGACCATGATTCGAGCTTTCGTGAACTTCTCTCCTCTGCGATCGATTAGTATGATTTTTCACCGAAATACATGCGAATCTCGAAGGTTTTACACTGGAAAACGAGGTGGGAGCTCGAGCTTCTTCTCGCACTCACGAAGTTCAGCATTTGATGGTCATCGCAGCCGAAACTTTCCCGAGGGAGGTGAGTAGGGCACCGTCAGGGTGTGTGTGCTGTCGTGAGTCATAACCAAAAAAATCTGTCTGCTCGGAGGCATTTTTAAAATTATGGTCACTCATCCATACCATGGGGTCAGTCAGGGTCATGTATCTGAAATAAGGCTATAAATAGTATAAGTATACGCTTAAAGTTGTTTACTATTTATAGACCCAGCTTGTTTACAAGTGTTACTGTTAGATCTTATTATTGTACTTGTTATGCCCATGTTAAATAAAAAGTAACAAAGTGAGAGGAGATGATGTACATAAAATATGGCAGCCGATTTAATGCATAATTAAGACCATTTTCTATCATTAACTCTATAAATTGACACCAAAACTTAAAAAATATTAGTTCCAACCATTTCTAATATTTAATAACTAACAAATAAAGAGTTAAGAACACTGATTAATCCTCCATAACCTTGCACTGCCAATAACAAAGGTCAAGGTGAGTCTTTATCTCATACACTGGGAAATTAAGTATCAGAATCACAGAACGTAGTAATATAGCCACAAAAGAGAGAGCAAATACACAATTTTCACAATATTTACAAGTGAAACATTAAGATAAACAAGTTCTGGTAAATAAAGAAAATGAATACTCACAGAATCAAATGTAACTTGCACTGAATGTTCAAGATTACAAATAAATGTCATTTGCCAAACAATTTTGGTAGACAATGGATACTGGCTAATAATGAGCATAGAAAGATAAGGAAATCAAGTAAGTACAGGCCTGACACCATATACATCTTTCTGTGTACAGTGCTTGTTACTTTATCAAACTGGGCCAAATTTATGACTCCAGAACAGGGCCGTAGCCAAGTTTGATGTTTGTTTGTTTGTTTGTTTTGGTTTTTTTTTTTGGGGGGGGGGCACATACATGTAATTGATTAAGTCCTGGGGAGGGGTCTAAAAAAGTTCAACCGACCTTGGAGATTTTTTGGGGGCACATGCTGCTATCAGTAGAGTGTGATTCAGGTTTTAAGGTGTATCGAGTCTACATTTTATCGATGTGCCGCTGTCAATTTCAATTTCAATTTCAGTATTTCTTCGAGTATGAGCACAATTTTATTAGTATCTGCCTGGCTTATGTGGGTTTACACTTCTTCGATTAGCTAGGTCGTCCTTGGTGAGTGGTGAATTAAGGCTTTAATGTTTAGATCGTCAATGTTTTCATTGGCCATTTCATCAAAACCAAGGA